TTTTGGCGAGTCCCATAAAGGGTTCCCTCCTCCCTGCTAAGGTTTTTCGCCTTTTTTTGTTTTCTCCCTTCCGCGGATGCCATTTCCTTATGACTTAATTTTTTTTTTGGTGCTTTCCCTTCCAGAAAAAGTTGTAACCCCTGTGTAACTCCCTCGAGGATCCTTGCCCATTTTACCCCAACGTGGTCCGTTCTTCCCCCTTCCCCGGATTGAGGTTTTTCGCCCCCCCCCCCCATGTTTTCCTCGCCCCCCATTCATGGTTCCCCCAAAAAAAAAAAACCAGAGTTAAAAAAAACCCGGTACCCTGTTTCCCGATTTCCCGAAGTAAATTGGCTTTTTTTCCAACTTCGTTCCCAAGCGACGAAAACCCAAACCCCGATGCCAACCAAGGCCGAGGAGGGGGGTTGGGGGGGGGGGGGAAGGGAGAATGTTTTCAGCGTGCGGGTTTTTTTCATGCTCGCTGAGGTTCTGGTCGCCCAATCATATCTTTCGTGGCTTCTCTTAGAGGTAACTCTGCCGTATTTCTTGTGCAATCGCTGCGTTATCATGGCTGGTTAATGCTGAATCTCATGCATCCTGTGGGGGTGTTGGAACAGACTCGAACGCGCTGCTCTGGTCAGTTGACTACGCCGCTCGTGCCGAAAATGACGCAACAACGTCGAAACATCGCTCCTTTCCTGACCTTCAGGTAGCCTTGCGTCTTGTGCGTCCTCAGACAGCTCTCCGCCCTTTTTCGTTGGTTCTTTCAACCCCCCCCCCCCCTGCCGCGAGGTTGTCGCAAATGGCGCCCAATACCGACCACCACCCTATTGTGCCTTCCACCTCATGTGGTGCCTCGCAGGAAAGCCTTAAGCTCATACAGACCTCGGTCCAGCAAAACCTGGACGCTCGCAGGCATGCCGATGATGACGATCGCGACGGCGATACTGATGCCACCGGTGGCGGCGGCCGGACCGAACAGAGGGTGGGCGAGGGCGGAGGAGGTCGGGTGTACGAGGAGGATGCTCAGGTGCTGCCAAAGATGAATACTTTGGGATGGTGCATGGATTTTGACCTTTGGGAGAGTTGTGCGAACTCACAGGAATGGTGTTCGGCACCCTCTCGGGAAGCGATGTTGAGAACTTTGCATTGGCCAACGCTTTGGCCGTGAGTCGTGGCTGGATCAGTGTTGGTGCTTGATGCTGTGAAAGTACACATGGTGTCCTTTCTCTCTCCCGCCTCGGCGACCTCGCGGGGTGTGGCTGCCTCGTTCTATCCACCGTGCCAGCAGAGCCAGTGGCGATCATCTTGATGTCTGTGTGGTACGCGCTTGCATGTCGCTCTACTGCACGTTGTTTGGCTACTACTCCTTGTGTGTGTTGTCTTGTGACAGGCGACTTCTCCAGGCACAACGATGGACCTGCACGTCGAAGTCTTCTTGGAATGCATCCGTCGGGGGCAAGCAACCGTGCCACCCTAGCCGCGCCACTCGCGGAAAATTCCAACACCCACGGCGACCCCGCTTTACCGTTTACGACGTGTCCGCTCCATGGAAGCCCGGTTCTTCCCTCATCTCTAGATGCACCGAGAGTAGCACGATGTCCCCCTCCACCCCTGTTAACGAGCGATAACAAGTGACACTTTGGGTTGTTATTGCTGGTATATATAGGTATCTCGTGGTACAGCAGATGGTTTGACAGCTTGCCTGCCCGGGACAACGAGATGTCTCTCCCCCCCCCGTCCTTCTTTTCGCCTCTGCCTACAGATGGCCACTGATGACGTTGTGCTGCTGCTGGTGTGCTGCCTAGTCGAGGCGGGCGCGACCGTCGGCAGCAGTGATGCGAACATCTTTGCGAGCAAGGGCGGGGACAGCGGGGGCGGCGGCGACGGCGGCCGCACGTCCTTCCTGGCCGATCTAGCGTTCATGAAAGCCTTCCACTTCTGCGAGGACAGCACCTCCGCCGTGTACTTCGCGGTGTCCACCTTCGAGGTGAGGCTACGATAGCGGGCCTGGCCGGAAGCAGGCGTTACGGCGGCGGAGGAGGAGGAAGCGCGTAGCGTATGTCGCAAGCGTTGTTGGCGCCGAGCGTGGTTGTTGGCGTACCGGCATGTTTTTTTTTGCAGACGGGGTTGTCCTCGGCGAGTGGATGCTCATACCCGCGCAACCCGCTGTTGGCCCCAGGGCTCCGTTTTTGTTGGCGTTCAAACACCGGCTGGGCGCCTGAGAAGGAGCGTACACAGCCATCCCGAGCTGTTGCCGGAACTGTGCCCGAGTGGAACCCCACCCCCCTCCCTCCTGTCCCGCATTCTGGCAGTACCGCCTCGCGTGCCTTTCGGCTGATGCCGCATCAGCAGCTACAAGGCTCCCACACATCCACCCGTTTAAATAAAGGGGTAACACGGGAGAACAGCACTGCCGGGAACACCACCGACTGTCTCATCCCCCGGCATGTCCGCCATCGCAGGTTGCGTTGGAGTGGCTCCTGGCGAAGGTTGGACGCCGTCTCGCCGAGACCCCGGCCGAGGACGGTCTTGGAAGTTTCCTCGGGATCGAGGATAGGCCTTGCCCCGCTTCCCCACTCCCCGATATCGTTGGCGAGGACGGATCAGGTGTGGGAGAGGCAGCAACCGATGGCGGTGGCGGCGGCGGCGGCGACGGCGCCGCCCCCCCAGTGGGAGATGACGAAGGGGTTGGAGCCTGGGGGGGGGAGCTGTCTGTCGTTCCAGCCGCCCTCTGCGACACGGCTTTGCGGGAGAACGTCAGGTCGGAGCTGGAAGCCCGTCAAGGCGGCGGCGCGGTCGTGGCGATCGAGGACCTTACCGGCGACCCTGCCGAGCGGCTGCCGTGGGAATCGGTCGGGGTGGAGGGGCAGAGACCAGGAGCTAGTCCGGCAGAGGAGGAGCAAGGCAGCAGCCGGACAAACGTCGGGCGCGGGATGGTGTTCGGCGATGCCGGGGAGTGGGGCGCCGAGCAGTCGACCATGTTCCAGATCACGGACGGAGGAGGAGGAGGAGGAGGGGCTGCCGGCAGCGAGGGCGAGAGCGAGGCCGATGGCGGAACCAAGGGCCGGGGCGAAGGAGGAGCGGGGTGGTCAGCGGTGGACGTCGTCCAGGTGAGGGCTGAGGCGGGCCAAGCGGGGTGCTGCTGCTGGAACGCTTCATTCAGACACATCCTACAGTTTTGTCTTCCTTTGCTTCGTCGAGCACGGGCGAAACGAGAGAGAAAGACGGGATGCCGCCTGGCTCTGATGCCGAGGAGCGGTACGACGGAAAGTTCTTACGGAGTTCGAGGAACTCTCCGTGACTCTGAGCGGGTCCGGTCAGTTCCGAGCGGTAGTTTCGATCCTGGGGGTGGCGTGATATCTGTTGAGGACTGTGTGTCAGCTTGGGTGTTACCGCTAGTTCGTGTAACCCGTGGCCGGTATCACTTGCTGGAGTCAATAACATACACGCACGCCAGAGGCTTTTTCTCCTGCGCTCCTGCACTCGACTCTTGTGTTGGGGATTGATTTGCCAGTATCGCGTCGTCCAACAACACATCGAATGCGACCTTATCTGCAGGGCTGTCCATCAACAGCAGAGCGTGTCAACGTGTAGTCTCTTTGTAACGAGAGGTCGTAGGTTACGAACAGAACTGCCCGCCACGGGATGACGGCGAGGTGAATGGGTCGCCTGGCCGGAGGGTGCTAGCGGGATCAACTCTCAGTCGTGTGTCCGGCGGCAGCCGACCCTCGCGGGATGTCCTTCGCGGTTGCGCCGTACGGTGAACAGAGTCAAAACGCCAACGGAACGCCGCCACGTTGGTCAACGTCGGCGGCCTTGATCAGATATGCCGCGCCCCCCGCATCCGCCAAAAGAGAGAGGCGCAGGACTGACTTTGCCGCTGATCTTTCGCGGAGAGCGGGTCATTGTTGCTGCTGCACCCGCGGCTGTGCGTTTGGCCTTGGCTCAGGCCCTGCTGTGTGCACATGCCCTTCCTTGATCAAAGTGCTTTTCACCCCTGAAGTGATTTCGTTTGGAAGCTATCTGGTACTGATGGGCTCTTCGTTTCGTCGCAGACCTGTCGTCGCCACCAACCCCTGTGTCGGTTGTGGCCTGGCCGGTGGGGGTGCGCCCACGGTTTTTTCGTCGCAGGTCTCGTGCGGAAAGCACTTCTTCGCCGCTGTTGCTCGCGGTGGTGGCCTGTACACCTGGGGCTTGGACGCGAGCGACGGCCGGCTGGGCCACGGAAGGCGCGGTGACGCTGACGGGGACGGTGGCGGGGGCGATGACGGTGCCGTCGAGGCAACCGCTGC